GTTTTAAAGAGTAATCCCAGGACCTGTGGAGGTTCCCAAGACCCTTTGGGGGTCTGTGAAGTCAAAATTATGCTTGTGATAATACTTAGTCATTTATTTATCTTTTTACTCTTGTTTTCCCACAAGTACACAATGGAGTTTTCCAAAGGTCACACAACACAGGCTATCACAGCAGGCAGAATACAAAAGCGCATGAAAATCCAGTCATCATCTATTACTAAAGTCAGACATTAAGAGGTTTGCAAAAATGTAAAGCACTATCACTCTTCTCACTCAATTTTTGTTTGTAAAAATATAGGGTTTTTTCCCCCACAAAATTATGTTATTTGTGTTAACATGAAATGGGTTTATTGTTTTCAAAATAAATTAATATTTGAAAATTTTTCAGATACAATTTCTAATATGCTAAATAGCAATAGATACAAACACATAAAAACTCTTTGGGGCCCTCAATAATTTTTAAGGGTATAAAGGTGTCTCGAGACCCAAAAGTTTGAGAAATACTGCCCTAGGTGAATGGTTGGTGCTTCTATCTGAAGCCAATTCCTCCACTTAAACCCCATCCTCTCACAAACTCCAGAAATTCTCCCTGCTCTCTCACACACTTATCAATGTTTTCTTCTCTATGGAATCATTCCCATTAACATACAAACATGCGATTTCTTCTATGTTAAAACAAAAGCAAAAACAAAATAAAACAAGACCTTCTCCTGACTTCACTTTCTCTGCCAGCTGCTGCCCCATTGCTCTGTTGTCCTTTGCACCAAACCTCTCCAAAAGAGTAGTCTCCACTCTGATCCAGAATTCCTCTCTCCCACTCTCTTAAATCTACTGCCATCAGGTATTCCCCGTCTTCCCATTCCACTGAAACTCCTCATTAAGGTCTCCAAGGTCCCCAATTCCCTTAATATTGCTAAATCCCCATTTGATATAATGAATCATTCTGAGGTTGGAAGTGGGACTCGACTCTGGAGGCTCGGCTCGGACACAGGACCAAATTGAGGACTAGCTAAAATAGGTCTGGGGCAGAAGCAGCTTTCCGTAAGACATGCCCACCAGTGCTCCATATCAGTTTACCATTGCCATGACAACATCTGGGAGTAACCACCCCTTTCCATAGCAACGACACGAACACCTGGAAGATACCACCCTTTTCCTAGAAATTTCTGTATACACTGCACCTTAATGTGCATATAATAAAAAGTGGGTATACATATGAGTGCAGAACTGCCTTTGAGCTACTATTCTGGGCACAATGCCTAGGGGGTATCCCTACTGTACAAGGAGCAGAACCTCAGCTGCTGCTGTACACTGTTGCTTAAAAACAGTTGCTGTTTAACAGCACCAGCTCTCCCTGGAATTCTTTCTTGGGAAAAGCCAGTAACTCTCCCTGGCTGAGCCCTAATTTTGAAGCTCACCTGTCCTCCATCAAGTCTGTCTTCCTCGATATGAAGGCATTTCTCAGTTTGCACAGTTCCAAGATGCATGAATTTCAACTACCACCATTTAGTAAAATAATCCATTCCCCCAACAACATGGTTCAAATTTCAGTCAACACAGTTACTAACTATGAGTAACTGCATAAAGTACAAACTTATCTGTCAGGACTTTAGTCCACTAACCACAATGTAATTAAACAGATGCATATCACCATCAGTGACAATTACATCACTTCTTTCAAAGTCTGTTTGTGACTGGTCACTGTATATTTGTTTTATAGTTCGCGCAGACAGTAAAGTGTGTAGCTATGTTGCCTCCTCGTCTCTCAGTGATACACAAACTGTATTTGACAAAAATGGATAATCAAAAGAGAGAATTGGCCAATAAGGATGAAAGTACAGCAAAGATGCAAGAAGTGAATTCAAGTCAAATATAAATGGAGTTACAGAAGAGAAAGCTGACTGTAGGAATGTCGACACAGCTGCCTTTCAAGAGACTCTAGATGTGCAGCCAGTGGAAACTGGTGAAGGCAAACCTATCAACACAAATGAGAAAAGTGGTTGTAATGAAAAGAATGAAGATATCCCAGATGCCTGTAAAATGCTTCACATTAAAATAACTCTCAGAGATATTTCATTCTCATTAAAGGAAGTCTAAGAGATATTTTATAACATTGAAAGCAAAAATCATAAAATGTTGGAAGTTGATCCATCTTAAACAGGAGTATGACAATTCACCAAGGCATAGAACAGATGTTCACTCTGTATCATAAGTTATACAATGAGAAGTAGGCAAGTGCCGCTCAAACCACTTTTGATAAAGTTTTTATAAAGCAATAAAACACTTTAATTCTTAATGTCATCAATGTTTCAAATTTCAGTGTGCTAAGTAAAAATTAGTTTTACTATTTTTTCATATTCTTATATGTTTATAACCATCAAAGTTTTTAATGTTGTGACAAATTTTTTTTTTTTTTTTTTTTTGAGACGGAGCCTTGCTCTGTTGCCCAGGCTGAAATGCAGTGGCGCAATCTTGGCTCACTGCAACCTCCGCCTCCTGGGTTCAAGTGATTCTCCTGCCTCAGCCTCCCGAGTAGCTGGGATTACAGGTGCGCACCACCATGCCTGGCTAATTTGTTTGTATTTTTAGCAGAGATGGGGTTTCACCATGTTGGTCAGGCTGGTCTCGAACTCCTGACCTCATGCTCCGCCTACCTCGGCCTTCCAAAGTGCTGGGATTACAGGCATGAGCCACTGTGCCTGGCAGTGACAAAAATTTTTAAAGGGCACAGAACAATTGTACATTTTCCCTTTGATTATTAAAATTGTTTTGCATGTTATTTTTTTACAGTCTTACGCTACCATGTAAACAAGGAACTACCTGTAATTTCTTCATTTGGCATCCAGGACACCACATTCACTTGGTTTTCTTCCTGCTTCATTGGTTTTCCTTTTCAGTTTCCTTGACTCTAAGTGTTGGTGGACCCCAGAGCTTAGTTCTTGGAGCCATTCTTTTCTTTATCTACACTAACTCCTTTAGAGACTTCATCCAGGCCAGGAACAGTGGCTCATGCCTGTAATCCTAGCACTTTGGGAGGCCAAGGAGGGAGAATCACTTGAGTCCAGGAATTCTGGGCAATAAACTGAGACCCCTGTCTCTACTAAAAATTTAAAAATTAGCTGGGCATGGTGGCATGCACCTGTAGTTCCAGCTACTTGGGAAGCTGAAGTGGAAGGATCTCAGGAATTTGAGGCTGCAGTGAGCTATTATTCCACTACCAGCACTGCATGCCAGCCTGGGTGACAGAGCGAGATCCTGTCTCAAGAGAGAGACAGAAAGAGATGTCATCCAGTCTCACAGCCTAAAATATCACTATATGCCAACAACTCCCACATTTATATCACCAGCCCAGACCTCTCACTCAAACTCCAGATTTACATATCCAACAGACTATATGTTCTCGACTTGGCTGTCTTAAACCTAATATACAATATATCCAGAACTGAAATCACCACCCCACCAACAAAGAAGGCAACTGTTCTACCCACAGCCCGCATCTTCCCCATCTCAGGTGATCACAATTTCTTCCTTCCAGTTGCTCAGACCAAACATCTTGGAGTCCTCTTTAACTATTCTTTTCCCCTCACATCCCCTAGAAAATCTGTCTGAAGTCCAATTGGTGCTACCTTCAAAATATATCCAAATCAGACCACTTCTCCCCACCTCCACTGATACCACCATCCTGGGCCCAGACATCACCATCTCTTGCCTGGAATACTGCAATAGTCTCTTAACTAATCTCTCTCCTAATCTATTTTCAACACAACAGCTGGAATAGTTCTTTTAAAATATATGTCAAATCTTGCCACTCCTCTATTCAGATGCCCCTGCTCCCAAAGGCTCATTTCATTCAGAGAAAAAAGCCAGCACCTTTCCAAAGACCTAGTAAGTCCTACACAATCTAGCCCATTGTTAATTTTCTAATTCCATCTCCTACTCCTCTTCCTCTCACTCACTCCATTTCAGCTACCCTCACTGGCCTACTTCTTCCCAATGTTCGTTGAGTACTTTAAGTAAGATATGCTAGCATTTAGGGCCTTTGCATGCACCATTTCCTCTTCCTGAAAAGCACTTCCTCCAGAAATCCACCTAGCTAACTCCCCTCAAGTGGTTGTTCAATGTCACCTCAAGGTACAACCACATACCCTGACCTACCTTCACAACCTACTGCCACTCTCCAGAAACACTTATTACTCTTAATTTGCTCCATTTTTTACAGCATTCATCACCCAATATACTGTATAATTTATTTGTGCTATTGTCTATTTCCTGCTGCTTGGAAGGTCAACTCAATGTGGGAGGCAACTTCTTGTCTACTTTGTTTACCGATAAAAGTCCAAGGGTCTGGTGATAGTCTCTGACACATAGTAGGCATTTAATAATTATAGCTGACCCTCTTACAACAAGAATTTGCATTGCACAGGCCCACTGATACCTGAATTTTCTTCTGCTTTGCCACCCTTGAGACAGCAAAACCAACCCATCCTCCTCAACCTACTCAACATGAAGATGAGGATGAAGACCTTTAAGATGACCCACTTCCACTTAATGAATAGTAAATAATTTTCTCATTCTTATGATTTTCTTAATTTCATTTTCTCTAGCTTACTGTATTGTAAGAATACAGGATGCAATACAAACGACATAGAAAATACGTGTTAATCAACTGTTTATCAGTAAGGCTTACAGTCAAGAGTAGGCTATTAGTAGTTAAGTTTTGGGGTGTCAAAGTTATACATGAATTTTCAACTGTGCAGAAAGGCTGGTACCCCTAACTCCCACACTGTTCAAGGGTCAACTGTATTTGCTAGATAAAGTTGAAAAAGTTCTAAATTACTAGTTATTACACTGACACAGGGAACCTTCTAATAATTCCCACCTGGTGTCTAATAATTCTCACCTGGTGAGAGAAATCGGAAAATCTAAAATGTGATTACTCAAAGTCAGAATTACTTCCTGAATATCTTGAGTGTGCCAAACCCTAGCAATCAAACACATACCTTTCTGATTCTGAAGCAGGCGCTTCTAGCTTTCGGACATGTTTCTGAACTGACGCGAGTGCTTCTGGTGAATACTGGGCAGCATTGCTCTCCATGTATTTCAAAACATACTCGTCTGTATCAAGGATGATGAACCGGTGACCAAATACTGGAGAGAAGGTAGCAGTACACTTAGCTTGGTGATGTTCTCTCACGCAATCAGAAGTAAAATAGTATTAACCCTCCTATGATAAATTCACAGTTATGCATTTATGACAGAAACTAATGAGCTTTCTTTAAATGACATACTAATATGCAGTCATTTGCTCAGTATTTACAAAACTTACTGTCGACATCTGTAGCCAACAAATGCAATCAACTTAGAGTTTAATTGATTAGGAAGGCAATTAACACATTATACCATATATACAAGGATAGTAGCTTTATCTCAGTTGTAATATAATCTAATTGCTTCTTACAACGGTAAAATGAATTAAATTCCAACTAAGAACTCATTCAGGCAGCCAGTAGGAAATTCTGGACTGTATTTAGACCTACCCTCAATCACAGCACCAATGAAGAAGTCACTGGGGCCATAGTAGATAGGGTTGTCCACTGTAGAGTATGGTTTAACAACTTTAGTCCTGCCAAGGTACTTGCCACCAATGATACCAGAATTGCGAACAGGAGGCTCAAAGATACTGATCATGTCAGTAGCTAGAAAGTAAGAGAAGACAAATCTCCGGTCTTTGTCTTCTGGGATGGGGGATTCCTATAAAGGTAAAGAAAAGAGGATATTATGAAGGTTCATGGTCTATGCAGATGTGCAAACTTAAATGCCTACAGGGGCCAGGTATAGGATATATATGAAGCAGTCTGGGTTCTTACAATATAAACAAACCATCTATGGGGGAACTCTGGTATCTCTGGGTAGAAAATGCCTCATCTAAGGGAGGCTTCCCAAGGGAGGCTGCACCAACGCAACTCAGTTGTTGCCTTGTGAGAATGTAGGCCCAATGTTGCTAGATCTTTCAGTTTTTCAAAAGATAAAAATGTAGATTACTATTTTAAACCTCTGATTTTAAAGTACTGACTCCAACTCTTTTAAAGCACCATGAAGCCCAAACACAGTATACTAGAACATATATGTGGGCTACATTCTGACCACAGGCTGCTAGCTGAGACCTGTTGGCTGATATTATGTTCAACTTCATGAACACTAAGATGATTAAGTAAGGTTTTGTTTCTTAAGCAAATGTATATACATAATGTAAAAAAAAAAAATTTAAAAAGAGGGGATAAGAGTAATATAAAATCAAAGAATTGAAAGTGATTCTGAGAAACTACCTTGTAGACAAGACTTTTTCTAAATCAAATTGCAGAGTGATCACACAACCCCTAAGGAAGAAATTCCAGCTCCAACAAACCTTAATACAGCTCTGCTTATTCCTAAAATCCACTCATACTGTAACTGTAGCACATCTTCTCATTAAGACCATGGGATTGTTTGTATAATAGTTCTTCATCTATTAAAGAAGTCATTAGATTTTTCTCTTAGTGAAATAATTTTCTCATATCATTCCCTCATCTAATAGTTTCCAAATCATTTGGATTATACACCCATGTAATAAAAATATAAATGTTAAACAATCACAATATAGTTAATAAAAATCAAATCATATCACTCCTCTGCTCTCAAACCTTCAAAGAATTCTTGTCATACTTAGAATAAAATACAAAGTTCTAAGCAGGGGCATACCAGGGCCATTGGGGGTGACAATGGTAATGGTTTACCATGGCAGGAAAGAGTACCATAAAACTTAAAAAAAATTATTGTCTTTATTGGGAATGAGGTTTACATTTATAGAAAACCTGCATAAATATTACAGAGAATTCTCACTCCCCTCACCAAGGTTCTCCTAATGTTAACATCCTATATAGCCATTAGTGCAATTATCTGAACCAGCAAAATAACAATAGTATGACATTAATAAATAAACTACAGTCCTTATTCAAATTTCACCTGTTTCTGACAAATGGTCTTTTTGTTTCAGGATCCCATCCAGGATCCCACATTGCATTTAGTTATTATTTCTCTTGAGTCTCCTCCAATATGTGATAGATAGTTCCTCAATCTGCCCTTCTCTTTCATGACTTTGACACTTTTGAAGACTACTGATCAATTATTTTCTTGAATGTTCCTCATGCATCTCATTTTTGCATTTTTGGCAAAAGTATCCCAGAAAAGATGTCATGTCTTTAGTGTATACCAGAGAGTTTATGAAGTCAATATATCTTATTATGGATGACACTAACCTTGATCACTTGGTTAAGATTTCTGCTGGATTTCTTCCCTTAAAGTTACTGTATTTCCCTTTGCAATTACAAAACACCTTGAGGGAGATGTTTTGAGATTATGGGAATCCCGTTTCTCCTCAAAGGTTTTCCCACTAATTTTAGCAGCCATTGCTGGATCTTATCTGCAACCGTGATTACAGCAGTGTGTGCATAATGATAATTTTTCTACTTCCCACTTTTCTTTTACATTTATTAGCTGAAATTCTACTGTACGGAAGAGCCATCCCTTTGGGGATGAGTATCACTGATGTTGTTTAGAATTACAGGCAAATGATAAGAAGAAGAAACAGACCAACTTTTAGTTGGTTTTATTTTTAAATTCTCTGCAGCTTGTTATCTATACTTTCTTGTTACCTGGACTGCTCCCATCAGCCCATTCCTCTGGCCTTGTAACCACTGGTTGCAGAGTCCTGGCTGGCTGCCGACCTGTCATTTCCACCTTTTTGCCCTCCATTCACTGCACACAGTCTCGGTCTTACATGCAGCTCTCTCAGATATTCCCCTGGCTGGCTCCCTCAGCTATTCCTTTGGTTTCTGCTCTTCTATGACCTCTTCAGAGAGGCTTTCCCCATTCTGCTGATATAAATGAGCCCCTTTCCCATCATTCTCTGTCTCGCTTTATTTTTTACAGCACATTACTACCTACCCTTATACAATGTATTTATTTGACTAGAATGTAAGCTCCATGAGAGCAAATATTTGTCTATCTTGTTCTCTACTGTACCTTTGGTATCTAGAACCATATCTAGCCCAGAGTAGTCCTTTAATATTTATTGAATGAATTAATAATTAAACATATGTTCTTCTATATAAATATAGTTTGTGCATTAAAAGGCACATATAAAAATATCAGAGGCTATACAATAAATGCACTCATAGTAAATAAAATAAACAGAGGCTGTAATATTTTCTTGACAAACACCACAGATGGTACTGTCTTGCATCTCTTGGAAGACATTCAGCTGCTTTGAAGATCACGGTTCAGATCATATTTCTTATGCTCTTCCAAAGCTTTGCCAAGTTTCTCAGCCAGCACTCCACTCTCAGTCCCAGAGAGTTTACCAGCATACTTTTACTTAGGCACCAATTGCCTATCAGAACTTAGTATACATTGTTTTCTCAGAACACATCCCGTGTCTTTGTCTGACCTCCATGGGACTTAATTGTCTCTGATCATTTCTCTAGTATACTCCCTTCTTTTTGAATTTCCATATATTTTCTTTTGAAGTCCCCACCTCACTCATAAACCTTTTCCCCTTATTGTCAAGCACCCTTTCTTCCTCAAGAACTTTTGTGATGAGTCTAATGAATACATTCTCTATTTCGTCAAATAGGTCAGGGGAAAACATCTGAAAATTACCATGACCAGAATATCGCTTCTTTTTTCCTGCCCACATGAAGATATCCACTATTTCTTTACTAATAGTTCTGTTGGCTTTCTTTTAAATTTTTTTACTGTGAACAGTAACACAGAGAGAAAACTACAAAAAAACCCAAAACAACAATAAAAATACCAAAATGTATGGCCGAAAGAATTTTAATGAAGTGAGCAACCATATAACCACCATCCAGGTTGAGAAACAGAACGCTGACCGAACCTCCCAATCAATATTCTATCCTTCCCCCACCGAACAGGCCACTGCCTTGAATTGTATGGTTTTCTTTAGTTTTGCTATAAGGCAGACATCCATAAAGTTTTGTTTTGTCTGCTTTTTAATCTTCATATAAATGAAATTACATAATATGCATGCATTCTTTTGTGTCTGGATTCTTACATTCAAAATTATGTTGATGTGATTCAGCCATGTTGTTATTAGTAGCTGTAGTTCATTAATTTTCATTGAACAGAAATCAAATTATGACACAAATATGCCATAACTTATCCAGTCTCTTGTAGTAGACATTTAGGTCTATTTTTGCTATTATGAATTATGCTATTATAAACATTCTTAACTTTTGGTACACATATATTGCACCCTTAGCACAATCTAGTATATTTGATTATGCCAAAGTGTTTTACAAAGTGGGTATACTCTCTTAGTAAAGAGTATGAGAGTTCCTATGGTTCCATATTCTCATCAACATATTAATGATTCTGATGGGTGGGTAGAGGCAACTCACTATGATTGTAATCTGCACTTCTTTAGTTACTAACGAAGCAAAGCAACTTCTCATATGTACATATTTTTAAAGACAGAGTTTCTGTTGCCTGGGCTGGAGTGCAGTGGCAGGATCATAGCTCACTGCACCTTCGAACTCCTGGGTTCAAGTGATCCTACCGCCTTAGTGTCCCAGGTAGCTGGGACTATAGGCACATGCCACCATGCCCAATTAATTTATTTTTTTATCTTTGTAGCAGTAGGGTCTCATTATGTTACCCAGGCTGCCTTCAAGCGATCTTCCTGCCTCGACCTCCCAAAGTGCTGGGAAAACAGGTGTGAGTCACTGCACCTGGCCCTCCTTATATGTTTAGTTGCCTCTTGGATATCCTCCTTTGTGAAATGCCTGTTCAAGTTTCTTGCTCATTTTTCTAAGTGATTTCAGAATGTTCTTTACATATTCTGAATATAAGATCTTGGTTGATTTCTGTATTAAACATCTGCTCCCACTTGAAGCTTGCCTTTTTTTACACTCTTAATGCTGTTTTTTGGAAGAACAGAAAGTTTTCATCTTAATGTAGTCAAATTTATCCATTTTATTTTATTTTAATTTATTTAGAGCCTCGCTCTGTCACCCAGGCTGAAGTGAAGAGGCACAATCTCAGCTCACTGCAACCGCTGCCCCCCAGACGCAAGTGATTCTCCTGCCTCAGTCTCTCAAGTAGCTAGGACTACAGGCATGTACCACCATGCCCAGCTAATTTTTTGTATTTTTAGTAGGGACAGGGTTTCGCCATGTTGGCCATGCTGGTCTCAAATTTCTGAGCTGGGGCAATGTGCCCGCCTTGGTCTCCCAAAGTGCTGGGATTACAGGCATGAACCACTGTGCCTGGCCATTTATCCATTTTAAAAACATGACTGCTTTTTTGTATCCCACTAAATAAATCTTTCCCCACTATAATGTTAAGATTATTTATTGCTAAGAAGTTTTATTGTTTTGCTTTTCACATTTAGATTTTCAATCTACCTAGACTTGATTGCCACTTTTGGTGTGAGATGGAGGTGAAATTTTCTTCTCTTTTGAATATCTAATTGTTCTGATATCATTGATTAGAAACATCTTCCTTTCCCAGCCCCTCTGCAGTGCTGTATTTATCATATGTCTTTTCCTGGGGTGTCTATTCTATTCCATTGGTTTGTCTATCCTTGCACCAAAAACATGTTGTTTTAATTACTGTAACTTTTAATACGGAGTGATATTTTGGTGAGCAAAATCCACTGATCTTGCTCTTCTCCAAGAATATCTTGGCTATTCCTGGTGCTTTGCCTCTCCACTTAAATTACAGAATCAATTTGTCTGTAAAAATAAAAACATTTTTAGATTTTTTGACTGTAATTACTTTCAAACCATAGATCAATTTGGGGAAAATATTTTTGTAATACTGAATTTTCTAACCAATGAACATGGTATATCCCTTCATTTATTTAGGTCTTCTTAATTTTCTCTCAATAATATTTTAGGTGTTACATATCTTTTGTATATAACACCTAAAAGATACGTAACACCTAAAGTGTTTTTGTATGTAACATCTAGGTGTTACATATCTTTTGTATGTAAAAGATACCACATATCTTTTGTATGATAAAGATATATCTTTTAGGTGTTACATATCTTTTGTATGTAACATATCTTTTGTGTGTAACACCTAAAAGATATGTAACACATATCTTTTGTATGTAACATATCTTTTGTATATAGCACCTAAAATATTATACCAAGGAATTTAATTTATACCTAGGAATTTAATATTTTTGATGCTATGGTAAATGGTATTTTTTAACTTTATGTTTTCTTCGTTGCTATTTGTATATTGACTTCCCTAGTGCAGAAGGCAGATTCTTTATTTTCTGTACTATACAATTGTTCATTTTGGATAATGACAATTTTATTTTTTCCTCCTCAATCAGTATGCCTGTTTATTCACTTCCTGTTTCACTGTTCCAGCTAGGACTTCCAGAACAATGTTGACCAGAAGGGGTGATAGCAGTCTTGCCTTGTTCCTAATCTCAGAAAGTACCCTTTCAACATTTCATCACTAAGTAAGCTGTTTGCAGTAGACTTTTCAACATACCCTCTAACAGATTAAGGAAACTCCTTTTTATTCCTTTTTTTATTATTAAGAGTTTTGTTTTCTTTTATTTTTTACTTTTTTAAACTTTTATTTTAGGTTCAGGGGTATATGTGAGTTTTATTTTTAAATCAGATTGATTTTAGCAAATGCTTTTCAAAATCTAATTTTTCTCTTTTATTCTGTTAATGTGATGATTTTTCAAAACTGAAACAGACTTTTTTGGCTTATTTCTCATTTTTTGCTGAAAATCTCAATCTTATTCTTTAACATGGTAAACAAAGGCTTTTTAAATTTTTTTAATTGTTTATTTCATTTCATTTCGTTTTTTTTTTAGACGGAGTCTTGCTCTGTCACCCAGGCTGGAGTATAGTGATGCAGTCTAGGCTCACTGAAACTTCCGCCTCCCGGGTTCAAGTGATTCTCATGTCTCAGCCTCCTGAGTACCTGGGATTACAGGCGCGTGCCACCATGCCTGGCTAATTTTTGTATTTTTTTAGTAGAGATGGGGTTTCAGCATGTTGGCCAGACTGGTCTCAAACTCCTGATCTCAAGTGATCCACCCTCCTTGGACTCCCAAAGTGTTGGGATTACAGGCGTGCGCCACTGCTCCTGGCTTAAGTTTAAGTTTCATAATGCCAGTATCTGAAGTCCCTATAGGTATATTCTATAGTCTCTTATTTCTGGTCACTTTATATTATCTTGTCTTGTTTCTGAACACTGTATTATTAATATTGTTACATTGTATTTTTAAAATTCTAGAAATAAATTGAAGCTGAAAATGATGTCATCTGCAGAGAATTTGTTTGCTTCTGACAGTCACCTGGGGTTATTAGAATCCAGGATCACCTTAATCTGATTTGTAAAACTGAGACAATCAGGGACTATAATTCAAAGACAGACAATAGTCCCTTCAAAGATTAGCTACAGACAGACTGAAGCACAGAGGGTTTACCAGGAGCTTCTGCCTTTGACAGGCCCTAAATAGATTCCAATGTTTGTCCTCACAGGTGGGTCTTCTGAAATCAGCAAATGTGCCTAGCGGAAAAATGGCCCCAAATGTCAGGTTCACTTCTGTGGTTCTCATTGTTTCCCTGGTTCTTGTTCTGTGATTCTTCACATCTTGCTACTTGTTCAGCACCTTCAAGTGGTAACACACATACACATACACATACATATACACATACGCGCGTGCGCGCGCGCACACACACACACACACCCCCTCAGCAAGAGGGCTGATCCAAATTATCTGGTCTATCATGGCTAGGAATAGAAGTCCTTTGCAAACACTTTAACTTTTTGTGATATATCATGTTTGACCAGGTTGTTTGTGAGTACAGAAGGCTGCAATCAAAAGAAATTTATCCTTTCTCCTTAGTTAGCAATATCTAACACTATTCAGAGCCATTTTTGTAATCAACTTTGTATTAATTTTTCCAGGTTTTTCATGTATCAAAGGTAAGCTTACAATTTTGCAGTTTACAAACCCATATGAGTTCCTTTCCCTTTTCTAATCCTAAGTATTAAACTAGTTCTTCATCAAAAGAATACTGGGTTGAAAGCCAGAAGGCTGAGTTCTAGTCCTACCCCCGTCTAAGCAGCACCGGATCTGGGACAAGATAACTAGCCTTTCTGTTTCTTAAGTTTTGAAACATAAAATGGGTAAAATATTGTATTGCCTTACTCATGGATAATGTGTGCAGAAATAAATTGTTTTGCCTACTGAACGGGCAGTTAATGAGTACCTACAAAGTCTAGAAAGACATGATTCCTGCCCTTAAGGAGTTACAGTTACCATATCATAATTCGACAAGGCGCTTGAATTTTAACAGTAACTGAAAGAATCTAGTACTACAAAACCTTTGTTGGTCAGAATTCTTATGGAGAGTGCTCTAGTTGGCCTACATTTTGCTGTTTTGTTGTTTTCTTAAAAATTTTTGTTTTTAGCCAGGACTCCCTTTTTATTTAAAGCTTTGTACAATCATTTTCTAAAATCTATTATTCAGTTGTCTTTACCTTAGTTTGTATCTTTTCAAATACATGTATGTAGTTTGAAAAGTCACCTGACACCTCCTACCCCCAGCTCCTAATTCCTATTCCCAGATATAACTTATTTCAACTTCTGCTATTTATGTCCATATTTCTAATAAAATGGTTAGGTTCCTAGTCTACATTTTTTTTCCATTTTAAAGACTTTATACTTTGAATTTCTATCAATAATTTATCTCATACAATTCAGCTAATTAATGAGATATGCAGAACTTGAGTGTATGTCTATTTCCAACTGCATGCTCTTAACTATTAGTCACATAACCTCTCAAGATATCAGGCAAGATATCACAGGTAAATGCAGAACTTACTAAGACATGGTCCCTAACCTCAAGGAAATCACAGTATACTAAAAAGCCACACAGATACACACATGGTTTGAATATTAAGCAATTTCATAGTTACTTAATAAAAGAGGCAAAAGGTCTGTTAACATTTGAGGTGTTAAGAGTGAGAGATTAATGATCTAAGAAAGATTATTGGGAGAGATAGGACTTGATCTAGGTCTTAGCTCAGGGGCACCATACTTAATACTATCCAACCTCCCTGAAGGCTGGGTACTAGATACAATGGTTGGTTGAGTCAACACATAACTCTGACAGCTGTTAATCTATAGCTTACAGACAAAATAATCATACACAGTACTGAGATAGAAGAGAATCTTTAGTATATAAAAATTAGCCTCACCAGTGCAGCCAAATAACGAAGCACCTTGTTATCATTCACCAGCATTTTAATAACATCTTTTTTTGGAGCTTTTGGAATGAGAGCAAAGCAATTCTGAGCAGAATCTTCCACTAGCCCAAAACCATTATAAGGAGGCAACTCCTGGAGATATATAGGAAGCAAGACGTAAGGCAAATGCTACTTGTGTTAAAATTACATTAAAGGTAACTATAAGTTTAATGAAAAAAACTCTAGAAAATACTTATTCAAATATATTTTCTATATAAACAAATACAGTCAGAAAAAACAACTTATCCCCTTCCTCTTTGTGGATTTTGCATCATGTTCAGTGATCACAGAAGTAAGTGATGAGGCTCTAAAGTAACTCTCAGGGCTAGAGAGAAACTATTGCTGATGTAAACTGACCCCTTACTACAAAAGCAGGACCTAGTCCCACCCCAGTCCCAATGCAAATGACCCTGTAGTCATCCTAGCATGGTTCTGTCTATGACTTCTTTGCTCTAGGATGTGGACCTCACCCTAGCAGACCTGGAAACTGTTTCCTCAGTTCACCCAAAGTAAGAGAGAGAGAGAGGGATGGGGGGAAGGGAGGAAGTAAGGGAGGGAGGGAGGGGGAGAGGGTGAGAGAGAGAGAGAGTGAGTGAGTGTATGTGTGATAGGGGAACGGTGGTAAGAACTTGATTCAAGCTACTTTTTCTCCTACTTACATCCATATTTCTAATCTTTTTATTTCTTAATTTCTGCCTCACAGAACAGGATGACAGCTATAGTTTTCTGAGAACTCAGATCCCTTTTCCACACAGGACCCCCTTTCTTCATGAAAAAGTTCAATTTAGGAAATTATTTTTCAGATACAAAGGTTATTTAATGAGTTTGCGTGAAGATATAGGTTGAGCTTGTATGTTTCATTTAGGCTCCATGAAGAGCCTGAAGCATCACTGTAGGATGCTAAGATTTATTTCCCTAAGAACTTTAGGTCAAAGACTAAGTCTTCCTCCTCCTCATCTAATGATAGGCAAACATCAGCAGGGTTATTTATTCCTGACTCCTCTTTGCTATTCTTTCTCAGGAAATTCAGCTTGTAGCACACATTTTCTCTTGTATATACCTCCACAAAATCTTTTTATATATTATTTTCAGGCACTTTAATAAGTAAGTCCATATAGTCCCTAGTACCATCCATAACAGAGTATTTCTTCAACAACAAAGGACTATTAAATTTGTCCACGGCGTACTACTTGGAACACTGACCCCAAAATCACTTGTTGGGACTGTAGTTAATGTGGTAGTCATGGCTAGAATATGACTAGTAGATTTAGCAGATGGAAAATGACCTAATTTGCTTCAATTGCAAAACCACTACTCAGTGAATTTACAGGTTACTATGGGCAGAGGAACCCTGAGCTGATGGCCTACGTGCTAAGCAGTTGAGTTTTCTCTGGAGGCTAGGCACAAACTGCAAAGTGGTGGTATCTGAACTTGCTTTGCACTTATACCAACAACACACAATGAGAGCATCCGGGCTGCGGGTGCCAGTAGGGAGGTCACTGAGGGTTGAGGATTTTGCAATAAGAAGGTAGCTATAAAGCCTCTGGGCCTTCTTCTCAAATTCCTATTGTATTTTAACAGACTACCTGTTTTTCCTGAATATACCTCACTTTCCCTGCCTGGAATAAAGACCTTCCCTAAATATCAGTCCGTATGCATGGTATCCTGGCATCTTGCTTCTCATACTTCAAGCTACTGCTTGGGTGGGTCCTGTTGTAAACTAGATGAACACTCATCTGACTATGGATATCATCACTCCTAGATACTCCCGCTCATACGATCCACTTACCACAGCTTCTGTCTGGACATCTTCAACTGAGCTAGTAGTATACATAGAACCCAAGAGTACCACAACCTTCAGATACTGCTTTCAGGGGCCGTCTCCACAGCAGATTAGCTTTCCTAATTCTGGTTTCTTTCTTTTCCCTACCAGTATGCCTCCAGATGGAGCCAGCCTGAGAAAAAACACATCTGGCTATTGCATTTATGTTTACTAATTCCTGATCTAGCAGAGAAGCTTGACTTACAAGTGCCATGCCTCTCGAATTGAATATATCCATTTCATACCTACTTCTATCCCTCCACGGGCTTGGCTCTAGCTTTATCCCTCTGGACTCTGCTACAAATTCCTATGCCTGGTTTCCATTTATGTTATTTAGGGTTAAAACGACTGAGGTGTAATGACTAAAAAGTGTTTGCTGATTAGTAACTGGCATTCTATTTATCTCCAACAAATTTCATGGACAGATGGAATTTGTTTACTATAGAGCTATTTATTATAGAGAAAGTACGGGAAAGAAACTGACCAAATACTGTAATTAATGTGCCAAATGTATAGATGTTTTATTATATAAAATTAGTTTTATTATACATAGGGGCTGGGATACAGCAAAATAACCAACTAAAATCTACAGTAGATCTTCAGTTCCCTCTGCTCTTTATACAGGGCTTCCCTCTCTTTTCTTTACTTCAAGATAGGTTAGGAGAAAAAAAAAGATGATAGTAATAAAGGTGGGGAACAGAGGTATTCTAAGACCCAAAAGCTTTCATTGGCTCAAAAATAGATCGGGCCAGTGCAGTGACGCATGCCTGTAATCCTGGCACTTTGGGAGGCCAAGGCGGGTGGATCACCTGAAGTAGGGAGTTCCAGACCAGCCTGGCCAACGTGGTGAAACCCTGTCTCTACTAAAAATACAACAATTAGCTGGGTGTGGTAGCACGACCTGTAGTCCCAGCTACTGGGGAGGCTAAGGCATGAGAATAGCTTGAACCTGGGAGGTGGAGGTTGCAGTGAGCCAAGATTGCACCACTCACTCCTGCCTGGGAGATAAAGCAAGACCCAGTCTTTAAAAAAAAAAAAAAGGTCGAAGTCCTTTCACTAAGCAAAGGGCATCACTATGTTGCAATCTCTCACTACTCTACCTCCTGGTTAGACAACCATCCTTATCTATAAACTGAAGAGGTAAAATAGTTCCCTTGATCAAAATCTAAATCTGATCCCATGCTATTTTCCCCTGTATACTGCATCAACTGCTGCCAAAAAACTTGGGGGCAGAGGGTTTATCATAATTATTTTTCTTTTCACAATCCATATACACAAGGAGAGGGTTTATCATCATTCTTAATCAATTAACACATCATTGATAAAGAAATCTACCAGAGAAAAAACTGACAGCAAGAGGTATTATCACCCACACTTCCTTCCAGAAATTGTATTGCCTCTGGGAACTCACAGCATACCAAAATCCAAATCCTTCTTTGTAATCGTTTCTATAAAACATTGTTTCTAAAAGTTTTGCCTAAGACACCACTTCTTTTTTGCAGAACACCTTCATAGCCAATTTTCTTCAGTCCAGTTCAAGAAACATATACCTCCTATTTTTTAGGCACTGTATTAGGTACTAGGAGAGAAAGATGAGTAGGACATAGTCTCCGACCTCAAGGGAGTTACAATCTAGTACAAAAGATTCACTAGCAGATAATTTAATATAATAGAGAAGTGCTAGTGGAAGGAGGCAGAGAATACCCCAGGAATAGAGACAAAAGGCTTTTAGCCCTACCTGGAGCTTTAGAAAAGACTTCTTGGAGAGGAAGCCTACATTGGGTATTGGAGGATAAAAAAGAGCTGCATGTAAGAACAACAGAAAAGTGGTTCAAGGAGGAAGAGCATAAGCAAAAGTTCCTGGGAGTAAAACAAGATGCTGTACTGGCAGAACCACAGAACTCAGTACGACTGGAGGCCAAGTGCAAGCAAGAGAAGCAGCTGTTGGAGGGGAAGGCAGGGCCCTGGCTGGAAGCACTCAATCATTTCATCATTTTATTCATGCCTTTCTTTTGAGGAGAAAGGGCCCAGTGATATTTTACACACACAGTAGTCTTTTAATTTATGAATGGGTGTATTTTAATTATCTTTTAATTGTATGAATAGATGTATTTTCATACATCCATTTCATGAATGGATATCATTTATTTTGTCAACTCCTCACACTTTTCTTAATAAATAATGCTACAATACACATTCTTCCACATGTTTTTAGAGTTCCCAAAGTATATTTCTAGGTAAAAGATATGAGACACATCTATATCTATATATCATAATATAAACCATATTATGTATGTGTCCTATCATCATATATATCCAATATCATATATATTATAAACTATAATGATTTATAATATATATATCGAAACAGATATAGCTATGTATTTTTTGAGACAGACTCTCACTCATTCTGTTGCCCAGGCTGGAGTGCAATGACGTGATCTCAGCTCACTGCAACCTCCATCTCCCAGGTTCAAGCAATCCTCATGCCTCAGCCTCCCCAGTAGCTGGGATTACAGGTGCGTACCACCACACCTGGCTAATTTTTGTATTTTTAGTAGAGACAAGGTTTCACCATGTTAGCTAGGCTGGTCTCTAACTCCTGACTTCAAGTAATCCGCCTGCCCTGGCCTCCCAAAGTGCTGGATTACAGTCGTGAGCCACTGTGCCCGGCCAGAAAATATATATGTTATTTATTTATAAAAATAAAATAGACAACAAATTGCCCTTCAGAAAGTTTACTCTGACTGGCTTTCCCACAAATAGTATATGAAAATTCCCATTTCTTCATATAGGGTAAACACTGAATATCGTGAATCTTTTAAAATTGAACAGATCCAAAAACATCATTATTTTCATTCTATTTCATTGATTATCAGTTACATTAAGGATCTTTTCATAATTTTTTTGCCATTTGTATTTCTTCTTTTGTAAACTACTGTATTACATATACTTTGTCCATTATTTATCGAATATTTGCATAGAAGTCTTTTTTCTTTTTCTTAAATTTCTACCTCAAAAAATTAGTTTTCTCACCACCCTAAGAAGTACTATCTGATTACCTGTTTTACCGGAGGTGGTTCCTGCTTGTTCACATCAATACGTGGTAAATCAGTGATTCCAAACTTCTCTTTGTAATACCGTCGAGTAAATGGATCACAATCATAAATGAAGAAAGTTCTTCCAAGGACAGTGAGTGACTTCCCAACAATGAAGTCTTTAGCAGTATACCATTCCAACACTTCTTGGTCAGAGATTTCCAGCACACACTGAGGGAAGTTCTCTAATATAAGATGGTGTTAGAGAGAAAAGAAGAAGGAATGAGTGGGTCAAGAAAGACTTGAGAACCTGAGGGAGTGCAGTCTTTTGCCCTGGTCAAGAGTCAGGGTCTCCCCTACATGCCCACTAGAACACATGGCTGTGTATTTCCATCTGTTGATAGGACACATACATAATAAAGTTTTTGTAAAGTCTCTCTCCCATATTCAGCTCAAACTATCACTACAAATCACTAATTTTAGCAAATTAATGCTTAGAAGAAATCACTACAGGAGGAAAGAACAAATGTCCTTCTATAAAGATAAAGTCTTAGGTCTAGGAAAGATCGAAGTCATTTACCTCAACTTCCCACCCGTTTATCCATTCATCCAACAATTACTGGTGACCATCATGTACTAGGTGCACTGCTAAATACTGGGATTATAATAATTAACACTGTAGATACAATTCCTGACTTCATGGAGAAAATATTCTGTTTAGGGAGACAGATACTAAAAAATTATATAAATAATGGTTTCATTTCAGTTGTAATCACTGCTATTAGGACACTGTAAGCTAGTCCTGGAGATAGGAGGCAGGGACAGTCAATGAGATGATGACAATAATCCATTCATGTGGTAATAAATAATTTCCAAATGTAGAATCAATCTTGCATTTGTGAAATAATTCCAGTCTTGTCTTACTGTTTCATGAGAACTAAGAATTAACTTGTTTAACATTGATTCCCTGGGCCGAGCACGGTGGCTCACGCCTGTAATCCCAGCACTTTGGGAGGCCGAGGTGGGTGGATCACGAGGTCAAGAGATTGAGACCATCCTGGCCAACATGGTGAAACCCCGTCTCTACTAAAGATATAAAAAATTAGCCGGGCATGGTGGCGGGCACCTGTAGTCCCAGCTACTTGGGAGGCTGAGGCAGGAGAATCGCTTGAACCCGGGAGGCAGAGGTTGCAGTGAGCCAAGATTGTCCTCCAGTCTGGCGACAGAGTGACACTCCGTCTCCAAAAAAAAAAAAAAAAGATTGATTACCTGCAGCTTGGCATCCAAGAAAATCTTAAGAGTCAATCAGTTCTAGTAGAGTGCCACGTCCTATAGTTGTAACCACAAAGCTTTGGCACAGAACCCTGATCACAACGGGGATGAAAAGTACGCTGATGTTCTCCTAACTGGTAATTACTAAGATTGAAAAACAGGAATAAGGCTAACTTTCTACTATAACAGGCATAAAATTTGAACTCCCCCCCTTGATCATGGCAAAGGAGGGCCTGCTATTTCCCTAATAATGCATCTTATTAATAAAAGCTCTACAGTCCAAGGGATCCTTCTCCCTATGTCTGCTCCCAACCGTACTACCTCCCTTTGAGCTTCCCCAGGAAGTGATGGGCAATGGGTGACACAGCTTCTGACTATATGAACTTCCCTTAGTATACAATATTCCAGCAGATCTGGTATATGTGTGTGTGCTGTCCAGTCATCTGCCTTTGTTTGCTCAACAAATTATTTTTTCATATAATGCTGGATCTGGTTTACTGATATGTTGTTTAGGATTTTTGCATATATCTTCTTAAGTGAGAATGACTATAGTTTTTCTTTCTCATGGTGACTTTGGTTTCACTGGCCGTTTTAAATGAAAGAATTAAGAAGTTCTCCTTCTCTCTAAAAGCATTTGTGTTAAGCTTAGAATTATCTGTTCTTTAAATATTTGTCAAAAATCTTCTGTAAAATTATCTGGATCTGCTGGCTTTTTTTGTGGGAAATGTGTAAACTAAATCTACTTCTTTAATGTTGAAGATATTTGGTTTTCTATTTCTTCATAAAAAAGTTATACTTTTTAAAAACTGCTCATTTTGGCTGGGCGCGGTGGCTCATGCCTGTAATCCCAGCACTTTGGGAGGCTGAGGTGGGCGGATCACGAGGTCAAGAGATCAAAACCATCCTGGATAACACAGTGAAACACCGTCTCTACTAAAAATACAAAAGAAAAAAATAAATTAGCTGGGTGTGGTGGCGGGCGCCTGTAGTTCCAGCTACTCGGGAGGCTGAGGCAGGAGAATGGCATGAACCCAGGAGGCGGAGCTTGCAGTAAGCCGAGATCACGCCACTGCACTCCAGCCTGTCCGACAGATCGAGCCTCTGTCTCAAAAACAAAAACAAACAAAAAACTGCTCATTTTACCTAGGTTTTTAAATTTATTGGCATAAAGTTGTATTATTCTTTTATGTTTAATAGCTATGGCATTTTAAAGAATGCTTTTTTTTTTTTTTTTTTTTTTTTTGAGACAGAGTCTTGCTCTGTTGCCCAGCCTGGAGTGCAGTGGCGCAATCTTGGCTCACTGTAACCTCTGCCTTCCAGGTTCAAACGATTCTCCTGCCTCAGCCTCCCAAGTAGCTAGGACTACAGGTGCGCGCCACCATGCTGGGCTAATTTTTGCATTTTTAGTAGAAATGGAGTTTCACCATATTAGCCAGGCTGGTCTCAACTCCTGACCTCAAGTGATCCGCCTGCCTTGGCCTCCCAAAGTGCTGGGATTACAGGTGTGAGCCACTGTGCCTGGCCTCTTCTTTTATTTTTAATATTGTGTATATGTGTCTTCTTTTGTTTATCCCTTCATAAATCTTGTCTATAGTTTGTCATTTTATTAGTCCTTTCAAGGAAACGACTTTTGACTTGACAAATCTTCTCTGTTACCTTTGTTTTCAATTTCATTATTTTCAGACTCTTATTTTATGATATCCTTCCTTTTAATTTCTTAATATTTTAATTTTTAAATTCTTTAGATTTCTAACTTTTTAAGAAATATGCCTAACTTATTGCCATCTTTCTTCTTTCTTAGTAAGCATTTAAAGCTATATATTTTCCTCCAAGTACCTCTTTTTTTAGAGTTTTAAGAGTCTTTGCTACCATTCAGTTCTAGGTATTTTCTGACAATATTTTTTTTAACTCATGGGTTATTTGAAAATATGCTTTTCAATTTCCAAATACATGGTTTTTTTCACGTTATATTTCCAAAACTGACTTCTAACTTAATTTTGTTGAAATCAGAAAGTATGGTATACAATAGCTAGCCTTAAAAATTCTTAAGACTGATTTTTACAGATATTTGTGTTTGAAAAGAATGATAATCTTCTAGGTGTTGGGTAAGTATATACATATTTATTAAATGAATAATAATTATGTTATTCAAGTCTTATATATGTTTATTGGTTTGTCTTTTTGATCTAATAACTATTGAAAGAAATGTTTTAATGGCTCAAACTATTGTGGTGTATTTTTCCAGTCTCATTGAATAATGGTGCTATGAATTTTTCCTATATTTTGAATCCATGTTATTAACTGCATTTAAGTTTAGAATCATTATATTTTCCTAGTAAATAAAATATTCTTGCAATAGGTAATGATCCTCTTCATGTCAATCAAAGCTTTTTGCCCAAATGTCTATTTGTATTATACTAATATAGCTTCATCAGTTTTTATACTTCATCCGTTTCTTTTGATACTTATTTGTCTATCTTTTTAAAGATACGTGCCTATACCTTAAGTATGTTTTTTAAAACGCTTTTATATATTGTTGGTGGGAGTGTAAATGAGTTCAACCACCATGGAAAGCAGTGTGGTGATTCCTCAAAGACCTAAAAACAGAACTACCCATTCAACCCAGCAATCGCATTACTGGGTATATCCCCAAAGGAAGATAAATCATTCTATCATAAAGAAATGCAAGTGTATGTTCACTGCAGCACTATTCACATAGCAAAGACATAGAATCAACCTAAATGCCCATCAGTGACAGATTGGATAAAGACAATGTGGTATATATACACCATGGAATGCTATGCAGCCATAAAAAAGAATGAGATCATGTCCTGTGCAGGAACATGGATGCAGCTGAAGGCCATTATCTTTAGCAAACTAATGCAGGAACAGAAAATCAAGTACCACATGTTCTCACTCATAAGTGAAAGCTAAATGATGAGAGCACATGGACACAAGGGAGGGAACAATATACACTGGGGTCTATTGGAGGGTGAAGGGTGGGAGGAGGGAGAAGATCAGGAAAAATAATTGATGGGTACTAGGCTTAACACCTGGGAGACAAAATAATCTGTACAACAAACCCCCACGACACAAGCTCACCTATAAAACAAACCTGCACATGTATCCCTGAACTTCAAATAAAAGTTAAAAAAACAACATTTTTCAAAACTTGTTATATATTTAATCCTATCACCCTTTCCTATGCTATTACTGTAATACATTTTGGTTCTAGTTTGATATTTTTAACTCTCACAAATTCAATATTGTTCTTTTAATTTGTATAGTTAATAATTATTTAGATTTATCCACACTTTGCTATTTTCTTTATTTATGACTTCTTGTATCTTAGACCTTACTTCTGCAATCATTTTCTTTCCATTTGAAGTATACTCTAGAATTTTCCCAGTAAGGGTCTGTTGTTAGTAACATCTGTTTGCCTGGAAATGTATTTCACCTTCTTCCTGAAAGACAGTTTCTCTAGGCATTAAATTCCATTTTTTCTCAGCATTCTGAAGATATTATTTCACTGTCTTTTGGTAATCACTGTTGCTATGGAAGTCAGTTGTCATTCTAACTGCCATCCTGTATGGGTTCCCTTTTTCTTTGGAGCTGCTTTCATGATCTTTTTGAATCTAGTGTTCTTACATTTGACTATGACATATCTAGATATGAATTTATATTTTTACTACTTCACTGAGGTGTAATTGACTACAATAAGCTGCACATTTTTAGAGTATACAATTTTGATGTTGCTTGACATATGTATTTACCCATGAAACCATCATTACAATCAAAATAATAAACATACCTATCACATCCAAAAATCTCCTCATGCCCTTTTATAATCTAACTCTCCTCACCATCCTCATGCAATCATTGATCTATTTTGCTTATTTATATTGTGTTTTCAATACTTTTACAACAATGGAATTATAAGGCATGTATTTTTGTCTGAATTCTTTCTCTTAGC